CCCCCCCTCCTCCTCCTCCTCAGAGTCCAGCTCTGCCTCCTGTGGTGTAAGTAGTGATAAATGTTAGTAGTAGAGAGCCAGCAGTCGTTGGGATTTCTCTGTTTCACTCCAACAAATCGAGCTTTGTTTGCAGCTTTGCGGCTGTAGTCGTCAGGGCCGTAAACGAAAGGGAAAAGTGTGCGTTTTCTGTCCGTGGAGCCCTAAAGAGGAGGAGTTCAGACCCAGACGAGGGCGTTTGATGTCCGTTTGTATGCTTTTGTGTGTCAGTTCAGAGCGAGAGAATAAAGTAATTTATATATTTTTTAGAAAACTGAAAGCTGTAACTATTGTTAAAAAAAAAAAAAAAACGACTGTGGCCAATAAAGAGTCTCACAGAAAAAGACCTAATCTCAAAGGAAGACTCGAGTCGACATCTGCACTCACTGCCTTATTCACAGGTTTTTGTTTCACAGCTCCAATATGTGAAAAAAAAAAAAAAAATAAGAAGAAGAGTGGCTTTTCAAGGAGGGAACAGAAAAGACCGTGTACAGAAAAACCCATGTCAGTTTGTATAAATATACCAAGTGAAAACAAATATTTATTACCTGCATTGGAAGAAATTGTTTACCTATTGAATGTTACTTGTTTATGTAGAAAAGTAGATGTAATAAAATGCATTCTGCTACTTATCCGCGTGCCCCCTCCTCCTTTTCCTTTTCCTGCCGCCAGGGGGCAGCAGAGCGTCGCTGCTCAACTTTCTGCTGGATAAAAAGTCCTTTTACGCAGCGCGCGCGCGGCTCCCGGCTGCTCTTGACTGGCTCCGCGCACGCGGACGCGAGAGGTCCTTCAAAAGGAGCGGAAACGTCTGCTTTATTTTCATTTTTCCACCTTTTGGTTGTTGTTTTTTTGGATTGAAGCAGGGGTTTTTCACCTGCGCGTCCCCGGACTGAGCGCCTAAACCCTAACCCTAAACCCTAGACCATAACCCTAAACCCTAACCCTAAACCCCTCCTCCGGGAGGGCGGGGGGGGCGGAGGCTGCCTCCGGGAGCAGAGATGCTCAGACACCGGAGCAGGCGGACCCGGGACGGCCGCTAAACCGGATCCCTCCGGGCGTAAACCTCCACCCTCCGAGCACCAGCCGGACCCCGTTACCCCGGGCAACAGCCTCCCGTTACCCGGGCACCATGAGCAGGGAGAACGGGAGCCTGCATGGCGGGAACTGGAACCGGTCCCGGGCGGACCGGGAACTCTTCTCCAACCTGGAGGACATCGACGTGACGGCGGACGGGACTCCCGCGCTGCGCGCGCTCGTGTGCGCGGTTTACGCGGCCGTTTGCGCCGCGGGGCTGGCGGGAAACCTGCTCGTGCTCTTCTTCATCCGGGTCCGGCACGAGCGGCGCCAGTCGCGCGTGAACCTGTTCGTGCTGCACCTGGCCGTCACGGACCTGCAGTTCGTGCTGACTCTGCCCTTCTGGGCCGCGGACACCGCGCTGGACTTCAGCTGGCCGTTCGGGGCCGCCATGTGCAAGATCGTGCTCTCGGTCACCGTCATGAACATGTACGCCAGCGTGTTCTTCCTCACGGCCATGAGCGTGACCCGCTACTGCGCGCTGGCCTCCGCGCTGGACACCAGCGGCGCGGAGCGGCGGCGCGCGTGCTCCGGGAAGTGGGTGTGCGCGAGCGTGTGGACGCTCGCGACCGTGTTCACGGCGCCCACGGCCGTGTTCTCCACGGTGAGCAGCGTGTCCGGGGAGAAGCTGTGCCTGCTCCGGTTCCCCGGGGGCCAGTACTGGCTGGCGGTCTACCACATCCAGAAGATGGTGGTGGGCTTCGTGCTGCCGCTGTGCGTGGTGTCGGTCAGTTATTTCCTGCTGCTGCGGTTCGTCCGTAAACGCACCATGAAGAGCCGAAACCCGCGCAGGAGCTCGCGGGTCACGCGCTCCATCACCATCGTGATGCTGTCCTTCTTCCTCTGCTGGATGCCCAACCACGCCGTCACGCTGTGGAGCGTGCTGGTGAAGCTCAACGTGGTGAACTGGGACCGCGCGTACTACCTCGCGCACACCTACGTGTTCCCGCTCACCGTGTGCCTCGCGCACACCAACAGCTGCCTGAACCCGGTCATCTACTGCCTCATGCGCAAGGAGTTCCGGGACAAGCTGCGGGGTCTGGTGCACAGAGGCTGAAGCCCCCACGCGCCCTGTTGGAAAAACTGTGGACCAAGACCGTGCGCGCGCGCCTATGTCCGCGTGCCTGCTCCTGAAACCGTCCGTGTCGTCGTCGCTTTCTGTCCTTAAAGTCTCGCGCAAAGTGTGATGTGGCTGAATCCCGTAAAGGCTTACAGCCGTTTGTTTTGGGGGTTTAAACCTCTCTGGTTCCCACCGTGCACGTCTTGTTAAATCACCACTTTCTGTCCGTTCACGGGGCGCGCGTAATTACGCTCAGGCGCTCCGTTTTCCGGCCGTTTTACCGCGTGAGAAGGCCATTTTTAGAGAACCGTGGATTAACTTAAACGCTCAAAGGAGCAAAGATCATAAAAGACCACTATCTGTGCGCGGTGTGCGTTTACGGGGCGTGCGTAATTACGCACCGGTGCTCCGTTTTGCCGCTGTTTTACCGCCTGGATGTGCGCCAAGAAGGGCATTTTTAGAGAACCGTCGATTCACTTTAACGCTCAAAGGAGCAAAGATCACAGAAGACAATAAAAAAATTAACGTGATTGTTGTAAATAAACGAAAATCTGTGTTAATAATAAAAAAAACATCGCCCCCCTGGGTCGGACTTTTTCCGTGTGTCGTTATAAATTTGGCGCAAATATTGTGGGAGCTGAGGAACGGTGGATAAAAAGTCTCTATAAACTATAACCGGCACCGGGAAGAGAGACTCTATGATGGGCGCGAGAGCCCCTCGGAGGAGCTGCGCGCGCGGATCTGTGAACACAATCTGCGGGATTATTTCCAGCTTTGTTTTCGCGGACTGGAGCTGCTCCCCAGATGAACCGAACAGGCTACAAAGGGACCAATTACCGGCTGATTAAAAGAGTTTTGACGTGTTACACACGAACTAAACCGGGTTTCTCTATAACGAGCTGAAGGAGAGAGGAAGCTCTTTGTGCAGATCACAAATGCGGCATTCATGCATGTCTGATATTCTGTTTTAAACTACAACTGAAAACTATTCTGCCAAAACAACACAGCACGAAGGGTCAAAAGCTTCTAACGTCATAAAACGGGCTGCTATTGTTCTAATGGAGCGTCTGTTTCCCAAAATTAATGTTTCTGTAGTAAAGTATTCCTCAAATAATATCTATAAAACATGTGATATTAAACATCTACAGTCTGATATGTTTGCATCTCAACTTTTGTTTTAAAATGTGTTAAAATATTTAATTTAGCTGGATTTGAATTTTTTTTCCACTAAAGATTGATTTAACTGTATTTTCTACATATTGGCCTGTTTGGATGGCACAAAGCAGATTTAGTAAGAAGTTCCAAAAAAGTATTAATCTTCTAATTATTCAATTTGTGCTCATTCCAGTTCACAGTGGAGGGGGGGGAGATTATTCCAGCTGTCTCTGGGTCAGCCCCCCTCCCCCCACACACACACACCTGACCATCACAGGGCCACAAACAAGCCTCCAGCTCACACTCACTCTGAGCAACACTTAAAAAAACACCATTTAACCAAACATGGACCTTTCTAATGGAAGGAGAGCAGAAGCTGACCGGTGTCCGGTAGTAAAGAAGATGTAGAAAAAGGTGCTCTATGCTCCTGGTTTTCCAGAGAGACGTGAGTGGGGGTGGGGGGGGGCTCTGTTTCATTATAATCCAAAAAAAGAGGGAAAGAAAGAGAGATAATGGCTCACATTACCACTCATATATGTTGGACACGTCTGTAATATGAAAGCACCCAGACATTCAGGAAATGAATCCTGGGGGGGGACTGACTCTGAATAATCAGTGCTCTGCTACTGAACTTTCAAACTCCCTCAAAATAACAAAAGGTGCTGCAGTAAATGAGCCTCAGACGGGTCCAGAGTTGTAGAGTAACACAGTAAAAATACTTCACTGTGTACTTTCCTGAGTATAACATTTTTTTATTACTTTTACTTCTACCTATATGTCAGAACGTAATTGCATATGTTTTACTCAATACATTTTCAATGGTTGGTTTAGTTACTGTTTCAAAAAAAAAAAAAGAGAGAGAGAGAGAAACAGGGGTTTTGACCCCACCCTCTGATTGGCTGCACCAAAGTGGGGGCCGGTTCATCTCCACCAATAGGAAACACCCATTGGTTTCTCCCATTAAACTCAAAGCCAGACTCCCATCAGCAGTAGGAGGAGGAGACGGTTATAAAGAAAGCCAAGTCGCCCAGGATGGAGATCCAACTCCCCCACATCCAGGTCGGCCATTTTGATTAGGTCACCAATGGGAAGATCCGAAGCAAGAAAATCCTAATTGTTTCATGGCTATATAGACATTCATTTAAAAATAGTGAAATTCATCTTGCAAACACTGAATTAAACTCTATACATAATATTATGTTAAAATAGTGGATGTTAAATAGGTTTGTACAATAAGTCCGAACAAGTTTAACCACAAAATGTTCATTTCTCACAATTATGAAGGGTGGAGGGTTAGGGTCAGGTTTAGGGTCAGGGTTAGGGTTATGGTTAGGTTAAAGGTTAGGACATCGTTTGTCTTCCGTAATCAAAATGGCCGACTTGGATGTGGGCGGAGTTGGATCTCCATTGGTGTACTTGACTCCTGACGGGTGAAAAAACAAACAGAAACCAAAGGTGAGGCACTGGTTTTTCTGACTGATCTCACTCTGAGCAAAGGCTCACAGCCACTGAGTCAGAATCGTTTCCAGATTAATTACGGCCCGATTTCCCACACGGCTGCGGATCCCTGAATGCAGCAGAAATAAAGGCGTCATCTGGATGAGAGAGTTGTGTCTCATGTGTGAAACGATTTCTCACGCTTCTGAGTTTCCCTCATACCGACACCTTAATAACCCAGATGTTCACCCGTTTCCATCCATTATCAGTACCGCTTATCCCCTAATGGGGTCAGGGGGGCGGAGCCTATCCCAGTAGCCAATGGGGAGAGGCGGGGTCACCCTGGATGGTCCCCAGTCCATCGCAGGGCCACACAGAGACACGCAAGGACCAACAACCACACACTCTCGCACTAAGGGCAGTTTGGAGTCCAACAACTTAACATGCAGGTTTTTGGACGGTGGGAGGAAGCCGGAGAACCCGGAGAGAACCCACAGACACAGGAGAACATGCAGAACCACCCAGAAAGGTCCTGGTTCCCCCGGGACTCCAACCCAGAACCCTCTGGTCCTGGTTCCCCCGGGGACTCCAACCCAGAACCACAACACCACCACCGTGCCGCCCTTCATCCGTTTTTATCCTGAACTAACTAACAGCTTTTCTGTTGGGAGTTAGGGCCGGGAATTCTCCCCAGAACGGGAACAGAACTCACAAACGAGGGATTCTCCTGAAAGCTGACACTGATCTGAACCTCTCACCGGCCCCAAAATGTTGCCAGATGTTGGGAGCTGCTGCACTTTTTTCTTGATTTTGAGATGCTCACTGGAGAGGACGGAGCTCTTTAAGCTTCAGCAGTAAATAGAGCAGTAAATAAAGAAAAAAATAAAGAAGTAAACAGAGCAGGCAGATCCCCCTGGACTGGCTGGTTCGCCTCTGGTTCATTCAGAATATCAGCAGTGTCGTATAAAGTCCTGAAATCTCTGAATTTAACCCAAAAAAATTTATTTCTCACAATTATGAAGGGTGGAGGGTCAGGGTCAGGGTTAGGGTTAGAGTTAGGGTTAGGTTTAGGGTTAGGGTTAAGTTTAGGGTCAGGGTTAGGTTTAGGACATTGCTTGTCTTCCGATTTCGTATAGACAGTAAAGTTTCGTTTCCACCTCAGAAAGCTGCTAGTCACATGACCTAATCAAAATGGCCGACTTGGATGTGGGCGGAGTTGGATATCCAGCCGAGGCTCCTGCAGACAGAGGCTGCTCGGCGTATTTGGTTTGCTCCACAGAGCAGCTCCTCTGTGTTCAGATCTAACCGGGGACAGAAAGAGAAGCTGCAGCCTGGAAGGCTCACAAATGCTTATTTTGGCTTTAAAAACATTTTAAGCTCGAAAAGCCGACAGCAGTTTTTCAGATTAGACCCTCAGAGATGGAGCAGAGTCCTCAGACCGATACGATCCCGGACCAGAGGTGCAGAGATCTGATCCACCTTTCAGGGTTAGGGTTAGGGTCAGGGTTAGGGTTAGGATCAGAGTTAGGGTTAGGGTCAGGGTTAGGGTTAGGGTTAGGGTTAGGATCAGGGTTAGGTTTAGAGTTAGGGTTAGGGTTAGGGTTAGGGTTAGGGTTAGGGTTAGGCCGCTAACAAACTCTGTTTGAGGAGTCAAACACACGGAGCAGCCCGAGGTCTTAATCCTTTAATCCTTAAATATTCTTGAAGTTTTTGAGCATTCTGAGTCTGTGGCTCCTAAAACTTTACTGAGTTTGAGTGATCCGGTCGGATTAACAATAATATAATAATAATTAATAATCAGAGAGGCCACAGAACGTGTGACAGTGAAGGTCACTGGAAAACGACAGAAAGCAACTGGACAGAAAACAAAGAAAAGCCTCAAGCATTTTTAAATCACTGTGAGAGGCCGGACCGACTCAGTCAGAGAGGATTTACAACAAAAAAAACAATAAATGGATGTCAGCACAAGACTGAAAATGGAGATGATTCATTTTTCCGTATTTTGGGTTTCTGGTGTGCTTTTTAAAAAAAAGCTTGATCATTTTTGGTTGATTTTTTTCATGTTTTGTTACAGTTGTTTTGTTACTGTTTTTACAGTCGGCCATTTTGATTAGGTCATGTGACTAGCAGCTTTCTGAGGTGGAAACGAAACTTTACTGTCTATACGAAATCGGAAGACACACGATGTCCTAACCCTAACCCTAACCCTAACTCTAACCCTAACCCTAAACCTGACCCTAACCCTAACCCTGACCCTCCACCCTCCATCCTTCATAATTGTGGGAAATAAATATTTTTTGGTTAAACTTGTTTGGACTTATTGTACAAACCTATTTGACATGCACTATTTTAACATAATATTATGGATAGGGTTTAATTCAGTGTTTGCAAGATGAATTTCACTA